TAGTTTTATTTTACTGAACATTTTATTTTATCATTTGATTTTCCCGGGGGTTTTGAAGCAAAGAAGACCTCAAACTGCTTTCTTTCTGCCACATTGTGTTGTCGTTTTTAAAATTTAGATTGAAAAAAATCAAGAATATATTCTACACGCCTGATACCTTAAAAGTTACGTCACCCACCTAGCTCAATTCTACTGCTACTAACCTCTCTACCTTCATTATTTAAACACTTTTACTATAATTAACAAGCAAGTCATTATTAATGTATGTACGGGTATTTGTCAAGCAAGGTGTCACACGACAATACAATGAAAACTGTGAACAAGTAAATGATTGTCAACAACAGAGTTGACATGTATTTTGTCAAACACGACACTGTAACAGTAACTATGAAGTTTCAAATGGCTACCAACGACATAGTAGGCATATGTTAGCCAATTTTGAAAAACCAAATAACTGTGACATAGTATTTGGTTGCGTTGCTATTTTGGCATATATAAATAGTATGCATGTATCCACGGGCGTCTGTGCACTCATTAATGTGTGCATACCTACAACTCAAACAAAATTCTTCTCCTAGGCAATACTTTTCACAATGTATGTGCGTATACTAACAGTTTAACGACATGCTATTACTAATCAATAAATAAGTTTCCACAACATCAAAATTTTCATTCAAGCATATAATTTTATACAAAATACAAATAGATAAAGATTGGGCCCGTGCGCGCACAGGTACCCATCATCTAGTAACCAAATGAGTAGTTGATAATGTGCTACATGCCCTCTCTCTATATATATTTTATCATTAAAAAATAATCCTTAATATATTTCGTTTTCATTACAATTCAAACATTTTTATCTCCTTCTTCTCCATTTAACTTTGGGATAAGGCACAAGCACTCGCCTAGACTAAGACCGAAATTTCAGAGACATACATTTACTAAACTAAGGTCCTATTACCTACCCCTCCCCGTGTTGGGTATTATTTACCCCGAATTTCTTACCATAAATAGGTTTTCCTTTTAGGAAAAGGTTTAGGAGTGACTAGTGCTTTTTTTATAGAAAAAGGTTTATGAATCTGTAAATAGAGGCTTGTTCCTTCTAACTTAATCAACATTCACAATGTAGTCTTAGGGGCTTTGAGAGTTTAGGGGGAGAATTTGTGGGACACAAGATTGATACGTTATCACTTGTGTGAACCTCCCATGTATTCCAAGTGAGTTGGTTGAGGTTATTTCTCTCTATATTTGTACTCTCATATTTATATATTGGATAGTTCATCGGCGTAGGTCGATTGACCGAATCATGTTAAATCTTTGTGTGTTTTGGTATATTTCTCATTTTTCTTCTTACTCATGGTCTTTGTTGGATTGCTTTGCTAGCTTTTGCATGACACCTAATTATTTCGGTCCTAACAAGTGGTACCAAATCCAAGTGCAATGGTTTGTTGATAGAACCAGGTTAAAAATGAGTGTTCATCTTGGCGAGTGTAGTTCTAGCCGCAACTTTTTTGATAGTAATGAAATTTTTTGTTAGAGAAATTGTTTCAGAGTGGTTCTTTGTGTCGAGACTTAGATTTGATGGAGGAGATTATGGAGAAGAGATGCAAGATGCTGAAGATTATGTGAAGAAGGTGAACAAATTTATTTTGTCAGTACTTCAGGCAAATGGGGAGATTTATTGGGTATTAATTGCCCTGAGTTTCTTACAATAAATAGGTTTTCCTTTTAGGAAAAGGTTTAGGAGTGGCTAGTCCTTTTTTTGTAGGAAAAGGTTTAGGACTCTATAAACAGAGGCATGTTCCTTCTAACTTAATCAATATCCACAATGTAGTCATAGTGGCTTTGAGAGTTTTGGTTAGGGAAGAATTTGTGGGTCACAAGTGATACGTTATTAGTTGTGTGAACCTCCCATGTATTCTGAGTGAATTGGTTGAGGTTATTTCTCTCTATATTTTGTATTCTCATATTTATAGTGGATTGCTCATCTTCTTTGTGGACGTAGGTTGATTGACCGAACCACGTTAAATCTGTGTCTTTTTTGGTATATTTCTCGTTTGTCTTCTTACTTGTGGTCTTTAGAGGTTTGCTTTGCTAGCTTCTGCATTACATCTGCTTATTTTCGGTAATAAGACCCCTACCCGAACTCATTTTTAATAATTTTGGTACACCTTTTGGTTTACGTGGCACATTCTGTGACTCCAGTAGTTGAAGTGTGTGGGAAATGTTGAGTTCTTTTTTTTTGGGGGGGAGGGGGGGTAAATGGCAATAGGACCTTAGTTTATTAAGGTGTACTGAGATTTCGATCATAGTTTAGGAGGTATTTGTGCCTTATCCCTTTAATTTTTTAAAGTTTTTTTTTTGTTCTTTCAATACTCTTTGTGTGTAATAACTAAGAAAGAAAAAAGAAGGCATGTAACTTCTCAACGTAAAGATTTTTGGATCAAGAATTGATTTTGATATTTAGTAATTATATAAGTAAAAGTTCATCCTTTTTGGTGGTTGTTTTGGAGGAGTGGCATAGTATAAATTGTGTTGAAGGGGGAAATGGCTTTTGATTGTGTAAGAGGAGGCTGGAGGTGGTGTCTCTAGTTACAATGGTGAGGGTGGTGATGGAGGGTGAGGTTGTTGTGACGATACAGACAAAGAAAAAAAGGATAAGACACAAGTACCATTCCAAACTAAATCTGATCTCAACAACACATCTAAACTTAACTAGAGTCCTATTACCCCCTCCCCTCCTCCAAACTCGTTCATTATGTATTTTTGTGCTCTTGTTATACAACTAATGTTGACATGGAGCCAAGACCCGATTTAATTAGTTTTGGTGATATACATGCACAAATGCACTGTCACATGTATAATACAAATATTATTTTTTTTGAAAAAATCTTCTTATTTTCTTTCCATTGTATTAAAAATAATTTAATATACACAATTTTTTTTAAAAAAGATTACCTTGTATTTAAAAATTTTCTTAAATACACATAACTTTTTAAATTTTTATTTCCTTGTATTTAAGATTTTCTCAAACATAATGTAATTATTTTTCTTCATATTTTCCCTCCATTCATTCTATTGATTTTTTATTTATCTATCCTTTTGATTTGATATTAAATTAAATTCCAAATGTCTTGTATATAAAATAAGATAATTTCGAACAAATATAAAAAAAGTGAAGAAAATCAAATAAACATAAAAAAAATATTAAAACGTTAAAGTTAAAGAACACTATTTTTTTAAAAAAAATTAAAAAGAAACGTGCATAATTTATTTTTAAAAATAAAAGTGAAAAGATAAGAAATTAATGGAAGAAAGAAAATTAAAAGTTTAAAGTGAGGAGGGAAGCAAATATGTTACAAAGAAGAAGAAATAGAAATAATTAAATATATACAAATTTTGATGTTAATAATTATGTGTATTAACCAATTTTAAAATGTCCAATTAATAGAGGACATGTGTCCAATATTGATCAGATTTGTTTTTCCTTTTGCCTCTCACTTGCATTGGAGAGTGAGCACAATGTCTATGCCACATCAACACAAAAGGAGAAAAAAAATACATATATATGTGTTTAGGGGGTGAGGGGGGGGGGGGGGGTAATGAGACCCTACTTAAGATTAGGTGTCGCTGAGATTTCGAATATAGTTAGAGGGACTACTTGTGCCTTATCAAAAATAAAAAAATATACTTGATTAATCGAAAAGGATTAACAGTTGTGGCATCTCACTCCCTTAAATAGAGTGAAATTTACTCTACATAAGTACATAATTTCAGTTTAGAGAAAAGACATAAAGTGACACCCGAAGTTGTCCCGAATTTTCAAAAAGATGTTGGGTTTAGCAAGGTGTGAATGGGAAATAAGAAGAGAAAATGGAAAAGTGGGGGAACCAATCTTGGAGGGAAAATGAAAAGTCATAGCAAAGTGCAAATGAAAAGTCATTTCTCCCATATTGGTAGAAGAAAGGAAATTTTTGTCCTTATATTAGGAAACACTTCCTTTAGTTCTTAAAGGGTTAAGAAGAAGGTGCCCCCTCGCGCCGTCGTCGTCACTTGCTCGGCTTCGGCTTCGGCTTCAGATTTGTATTTGGATTAGTTCTTAAAGGGTTAAGAAGAAGGTGCCCCCTCGCGCCGTTGTCGTCGCTCGCTCGGCTTCGGCTTCGAATTTGGATTTGACAAATGATGTGATTGATTGATAATATTTTTGGACAAAATTTATTTAATCAATCTTGTTAATATATTTCGTTTCTCTTATAAACTAATTCAGAATGTTGGTTAAATAACATAATTAATTTGGTGCAATGGAATTTATTTGAAATTCACATGTACGGTAAAAACATTCTGAAGGGACCTATTCCTTCTGAAAAGTCGTTACTTTTCCCAAAAGACACAACGTTCTGGAAAAAAATGGATCTGAACAGACACGTTCCTTGCTGAAAATGGCTATAAATAAGAAATCTTTTTCAGTTTTTCAAACACTGAATTTTTTTCCTCTCTGCATACATTTTCTTACATAAACAAAAAAATTTGATCGACTAAGTTTGTGTGTGCTCTTGTTGTTGTTCTTGCATTCGCTGAAGTTATTGAAGTTTGAGGTACCGCTACTTCTCTAACTGGTTAATCTGTTTTATCTTGGAGGAATTAATCTGCAACCTCGGGTACAATGAGGGGATTAAATTTCTTAAGGAAACACAGTGGTTTCTTTGGACTCGGATTAAAAACATTATGTCTATTTCCTCTTTTCTCTGTTTCTGGAATTTTGACTAACCTGAATACAAGAGATAACAATCTTAAGAAATTTATTAGTTTATGTATTTAAGGTTTCTGGAGATTAAAAGCTTAATGGTTTTCTACTCTATTTGAATTTTTAAAATTCATTCGATTAACGATTAAAAGAACATAAAAATTTTATCGTTAAATCAGAAACAGTCTGTGTAAGGATTTATTCTTTACTGTTAGTATTTCACATACTAAAATTTTCTGCCATTTGTGACAGAAAAATGACTAATTCAAGTCAAGTAAATGCTGGAACTGTAAGTGCTGCAACAATATCGGTTGCACACAATCGTTCAACTGCTGCCCTAGCATCAGCTGAAAAACCTGCAAAATTTTCTGGAGTCGACTTCAAGAGATGGTAGCAGAAGATGTTTTTCTATCTAACTACGTTGAATCTGCAATGGTTCATTAATGAGAACGTTCCTGTTATGTCGGATGAAACTCCACTTGAAGAACGATTCTTGGTAACAGAAGCATGGACACATTTAGATTTTTTGGGTAAAAATTATATTCTGAGTATCCTGCAAGATGATCTGTACAATGTATATAGTAATGTCAAAACTTCAAAAGAACTCTGGGATGCTTTAGAAAAGAAGTACAAAAAAGAGGATGCCAGAATGAAGAAGTTCATTGTGGCAAAGTTTCTTGACTATAAGATGATAAGAAGTAAGACCGTCGTCACCCAAGTTTAAGAATTGCACGACATAATCCATGATCTCCTTGCTGAAGGTATAAATTTAGTTAATACCTATGTTGGAAATATTAAGTCTATTCTTAATACTCACATAATCTCTAATGTAGGATTGGTTGTGAATGATGTTTTTCAAGTGACTGCCATTATTGAGAAGTTACCTCCATTGTGGAAAGACTTCAAAAACTACTTGAAACATAAAAACAAGGAGATGACTATTGAAGATCTCATGGTAAGGCTGAGAATCAAAGAGCATAACAAAGCCATGGAAAAGAGGTCATGTGGTAATTCAGCAATATCTGGAGTATATTGTTGAAGAAAAACCCACAAAATCAAAGAAAAGAAAGAAAGCATCTAGTCAGCAATCCTCCTAAGAAGAAATTCAATGGAAGTTGCTTCAATTGTGGCAAACGTGTTCATAGGGCTACTGAATTTCGGGGTCCCAAGAAGGACAAAAAGAAGGATCAAGCAAATTTGGTTGAATCCAAAGGAAATATGGACGATCTTTGTTCAATGCTTTCAGAATGCAACTTGGTTGGAAATCCAAGAGAATGGTGGATAGATTCTGGTGCCTCATGCCATGTTTGTGGCAAGAAAGAATTGTTTTCATCATATACTCCAGCACCTACAAATGAGAAGTTGTTTATGGCAAACTCCGTTGTTGCAAAGGTGGAAGGAACTGGCAAAGTCTTCTTAAAGATGACATCGGACAAGGTGGTGACTTTGAACATGGTCTTGTATGTTCCGGAATTGCGAAAGAACGTAGTTTCTATACCAGTTCTCACTAAGAACGGATTCAAATGTGTATTTGTTTCTGATAAAGTTGTACTGAGTAAGAATGAAATGTATGTAGGAAAAGGTTACCTCACCGAGGGCCTCTTTAAACTCAATGTAATTGCAGTTGATATGAATAAAAATTCTGCTTCTTATTACTTGTATTAGTCTAAATGTTTATGGCATGAACATTTGGGACACGTTAATAACAAAACCTTGCGAAAACTGATTAACTTAAATGTTTACCTAAATTTGAGTGCAATAATTCAAAATGTCAAGTTTGCGTTGAATCTAAGTACGCTAAGCATCCTTACAAATTTGTTGAAAGGAATTCATATCCCTTAGGAAAGAGTATTTCATAACTTTTATTAACGATTGCACTAGATATTGTTATATCTACTTGATAAATGATAAGGATGAAACAATAGAAGCATTTAGGCAATATAAAACTGAAGTTGAAAATCAGTTGGATAGAAAGATCAAAATGAGCAGAAGTGATAGAGGTGGAGAATATGAATCTCCATTTGCAGAAATATGTTTGGAAAATGGAATATTCCATCAGACTACTGCTCCTTACTCTCCTCAATCTAATGGAATTGTGGAAAGGAAAAACCAAACTTTAAGGGAAATGATGAATGCCTTACTTATAAGTTCAGGTTTACCACAAAACTTTTGGGGGGAAGCTATCCTTACAGCAAATCGAATACTCAATAGAGTGTCTCACACGAAGACACATGTTATTCCATATGAGAAATGGAAAGGTAGAAAATCCAACTTGAAATATTTCAAAGTGTGGGGGTGTCTAGCCAAAGTCCAGGTTCCTATACTAAGAGGGTGAAAATAGGGCCTAAGACTGTGGATTGTGTATTCATTGGATATGCCACAAATAGTAAGGCATGTCGATTTTTGGTTCATAAGTCTGAACATCCGAATATTCATGATAATACGGTAATGGAATCAAATAATGCTAAATTTTTTGAACATATCTATCCGTATAAAACTAGACTTGAGTCATCTAGTGAGGGGTCTAAACAACCTCGAGAAGAACCAAAAGAGAATGAAACCAATAAAGATAGTCCAAGGCGTAGTAAACGTCAAAGGACAGCTACTTCATTTGGATCTGATTTTGTAACATTCCTTCTTGAAAGTGAGCATCAAACATTCAAGGAAGGCGATGTTGTCTAGCGACTCAACCTCTTGGAAGTAGGCTATCAATAGTGAGATTGAATCAATCTTAAGCAATCATACCTGGGAGTTGGTTGATCTACCTCCAGGGAACAAACCCTTGGGTTCAAAATGGATCTTCAAAAAGAAGATGAAAGATGATGGAACTATTGACAAATTTAAAGCAAGACTTGTTATCAAAGGCTTTACATATAAATAAGGTCTTGATTATTTTGACACATACTCGTCAATGACTAGGATTACATCAATTCAGATGTTAATTGCCCTAGTTGCAGTATACGATCTTGAAATCCATCAATGGATGTGAAAACCACCTTCTTAAATGGAGAGCTGGAGGAAGAGATTTACATAGAATAATCTGAGGGCTTCGTAGTTCCCACTAAAGAAAAAAAAAGTATGCAAATTTGTTAAGTCACTTGATGGACTAAAACAAGCATCGAAACAATGGCATGCAAAGTTTAATCAAACCATGTTGTCAACTGGATTTAAGATCAATGAGTGTCATAAATGTGTTTACATTAAAGACAATCTGAATCAAGAAGTCATTATATGCCTACATGTGGATGACATGCTAATAATGAGCAAGGAGATTACCAATGTAAAAGCTACTAAGTGTATGTTTGCTAGTAAGTTTGATATGAAAGATCTAGAAGTATCCGATTTGATATTGGGAATAAAGATTCACAAAACTCCTAACGGTCTAGCATTGTCTCAATCTCATTATATTCAACAGGTACTTGAAAAGTTCAAGTATTTGAATTTCAAAAAGGCAAAGACCCCAATTGATGTGAACCTTAATCTTGCTCAGAATAAAGGTGAAAGTCAGTCTTAATTGGATTATGCCAGAGTATTGGGAAGTTTGATGTATGTCATGAATTGTACAGGACCAGACATAGCATGTGCTATAAGTAAACTGAGTCGATCCACAAGTAATCTGAATCAAAATCATTGGTTGGCAATGAAGAGAGTTTTGGGGTACTTAGAAGACACTCAAAACTATGTTTTGTATTACAACAAATATCAAGCAGTTCTTGAAGGATATAGTGATGCAAATTGGATTACTGGGTCAACTGAAACGAAATGAATGAGTGGATATGTTTTCACTATTGGTAGAGGAGCAATAGCTTGGAAATCATCCAAACAAACATGTATAGCTCGCTCTACAATGGAGTTTGAATTCATCACCTTAGACAAGGCAGGTGAAGAAGCTGAATGGATCCAGAATTTATTAGAAGATATTCCATTTTGTCCCAAACCAATGGCCCATATATGTATACACTGCGATAGTCAGGCTGCAATAGGAAGGGCTGGAAGCGTTATGTATAAGGGGAAGTCTCGTCACAAACGACGAAGACACAATTTTGTTAGCCAACTAATCTCTAGTGGAATTATAACAATTGACTATGTAAAGTCAAAGGATAATGTGTCGGATCCACTTACAAAAGGCCTAACTAGAGAGGGAGTTGAGAGATCATCGACGGGAATGGGACTATGGCAGAGAACAAGTCATCGTGGTTGTAACTCTACCTAGAAGACTGGAGATCCCAAGATCTAGGTTTAATGATATAAAACAAAGTCATAGATGAGGATTCAACATTGTCAAAAATTATTTTATGTCTATTCTCATGATGAGACAATGTTCAATAACCAGGATAAAGGCATAAGGACTTTTTATTAGCTTCTATGTTTGATACAGGGTATATCAAATAGTATATCTATGGGATAACACATTTAGAAGCCACCTATGTAAGTGTGAAGTGTAAGCCGCTTCAAGGAGAATCCGGTAAGGCCAGTTCTCTAAGCACTTATTAATCGAGATGTGTTCATGGCTGAAACGAACAAAACAATGAGAACCGAAAATAGTTCAAGGATTGATTGTGTGACTTATGTTGTCTAGGTATACACCAAAGCTAAACGGTTCAAAGATATCAAATCTACCGATTGACCGAGTATATCCGATATATGTTCACTACGGAAAGTTTAAAGGGAAATCTACTTATCCAGATGCAATAAACCATTACTTACGAGACACACAAGTTTTTCATGCATATGTTTTAACTATAGCCATTCTCCATTCATGTGGGGGATTTTTGGGTTTAGCAAGGTGTGAATGGGAAATAAGAAGAGAAAATGGAAAAGAGGGGGAACCAATTTTGGAGGTAAAATGAAAAGTCATTGCAAAGTGCAAATGAAAAGTCATTTCTCCCATATTAGTAGAAGAAAGGAAATTGTTGTCCTTATATTAGGAAACACTTCCTTTAGTTCTTAAAGGGTTAAGAAGAAGGTGCCCCCTCGCGCCATTGTCATCGCTCGCTCGGCTTCCGCTTCGGCTTTGGATTTGGCAAATGATGTGATTGATTGATAATATTTTTGGACAAAATTTATTTAATCAATCTTGTTAATTCATTTCATTTCTCTTATAAATTAATTTAGAATGTTAGTTAAATAACAGAATTAATTTGGCGCAATGAAATTTATTTGAAATTCACGTGTAACGGTGAAAATGTTCGGAAGGGACCTGTTCCTTCCGAAAAGTCATTACTTTTCCCAAAAGACACAATGTTCTAGAAAAAATGGGTCTGAACAGATTTGTCTGAACAAACGTGTTCCTTGCTTAAAATGGCTATAAATAAGAGGTCTTTTTCCATTTTTCAAACGTTAAAATTTTTTCCTCTCTGCATACATTTTCTTACATAAACAAAAATTATCGATCGACTGAGTCTGTGTGTGCTCTTGTTGTTGTTCTTGCGTTTGCTGAAGTTATTGAAGTTTGAGGTACCACTACTTCTGTAACAGGTTAATCTATTTTATCTTGGAAGGAATTAATCTGCAACCTCGGGTACTATGAGGGGATTCAATTTCTTAAGGAAACATAGTGGTTTATGTGGACTCGAATTAAAAGCATTTTGTCTATTTCATGTTTTTTCTTTTTCTGTAATTTTGACTAACCTGAATACAGGAGATACAAAAAGATACCTAAAATATGCAAGCGTAGTATTACCCCCCTAAACAATACTTAACTGATATTATTATATCATTTTTTGTCAACCTGGCATGGAGAGTGTATGCACTCTTTTAAAGAGCGTGAACAAACTAAAAAAATGAATATAATTTTATATTTACAAGTATTTTTCTATAAAATATATTTTCTTGTTTATCTTATTATTTTAACTTTTTCTCCTTATTAATTTTTTTCTTTTTCTTTCTTCCTTCTTCAAAAATTTATTGTCATCTTCATTGAAGCTTCTCACTTTCAATGTCACTTTTTACCACAACTCCACCTCCCTTTTTTTACTACAATTAGTTTAACTCTCTTCAATTTTAAAATTATATCTAAATATTTTTTTACATTTCTAACAATTTGGTAAACCCATTAGATTTCAAGATGATTAGTAGGTATTATTTACCTTTTTTTATCCAAATTTCAATTAAACTTTTTTTCATAAACTTTTTGCTTTTGAGTTTTTAAGTCTAGATTTAGGCATTTACCCAATGATAGATTCATATGCGACTTTCTTAAGAGGATAAGTCCTATTACTTGTTTAAGTAGAGCAGAGTGAGTTTTAACTTATATGGCAATAGTTGTCTACTTAGGGCATGAAACTTGTTTTGTTAGAAAAATGTACCTCTCCAAAAAATAATTGCATAAACTTCTATTACATGTATTGACATGTATATCTCATTTTTTGAAATAAAATAAATTGATAAATACTTAGAGTAGAAGTTTGGGTGTTAAATTAGAATAGCTGAATATAGTCCTATGTCATTGTGTGTGTAATTTTTACTATTTATGCGTTTACAAGTAAAATCTAGAACTTTTCTGGTAAGTCATGTCACATGTCCAAGGATAACTTTATTGAGAGATGACTTAAGTCTTCTTTGTTGAACAAATGTCACTATTAGCCTAAATGAACCCTCCGAATGATAACTTATTATTTTATTGAAAAGATAAATATAACTCAGTTGCCCTTAAAATAATTAAT